CGGAGGATGATGACCCGCAGCCAGGACGCCACCGTGCCCCTGGGCTCCGAGCAGGTAAAGCATGCAAATGTAGTCAATTCAAGGCTCAGTATCTGAAACACTGTTTGCCACTTGAATCGTTTTTCACATACTTGGCTCCATGCCATTAATTAAGTCCACCATATAGTGAAACTGGTGAGCGTTTTTTTACACCAGCCCCCCTTAGAGAACCTCAAGGTTCCTCACAGCCCCTTCCCACCCCCTGTTCTCTGGTTGTGTTCACATTGGCCGGGCTACCGACACGTGGGCTCACGTGGTGCTTGTCCTTGGCGTCTGGCCTGGCTGGAGGCTCCAGGGATCCTCCTTGCTGTGGCACGTGCCAGCACTCCCGCTCTGCAGCTGCGTCGTGCCCTCCAGTGGCAGTGCCCGGCCTGTCAGCCCTTGCCACCACGGTTGATTCGGGCTGTAGGGCGAGGGCTGCCAGGAGAGTCGGGGTAGAGGTACCTGGGCAGGTCCCTGCTGGCGTCTGGGCCTCGCCAGGAGGGAGATGGCGAGGAATTTGGGTTTAGCTTTCAGAGACTGTCGAACTATGGTCCACAGCAGCTGCGCCGTTTCGCAACCTAAGCCGTGGACCAGGTTCCCACCTTGTCGGGCTTCTAATTGTAGCCCGCTGGGTGGGGTCTCCTGGTGGTTTTAATTTGCAGTCGCTGTCTTCGTTTCACTCCCGTGGCTAGTGAAAGGAGCCTTGGCAGTGCAGTGGTTATGCACTGGGCTGCTAACCCCCCATGGTCGGCAGTTCAAAACCACCAGCTGCTGCTCCTTGGGAGAAAGATGTGGCTTTCTACTCTCGTGAAGAGTGACGGTCTCAGAAACCCACAGGGACAGTTCCGCCCTGTCCCACAGGGTGGCTCTGAGTCAGCATTGACGTGGTGGCAGGGAGCTGATGGGTAATGGAGGAGTTCTGGGTTACGCTGTGGCTGTAGATCTGGAATGGATGGTATCATCCAGTATCTACTTGTGTTCTTACTGGCTGGTGGACATCTTTTCCCTCCCCGGTTAGGTTGGCTCTGGTTGTGGAGAATGGGGTAGTTTTCCTAATGAGCCCCTCAGGTTACTCCTAGGTGGCCAGGTGTGTGTGTGCTGTTCGTGGACCTGGGGTGTGTGTGTGTGCGCGTGCATGCGCTCAGGATACTCCTGGGTGGACAGGTGTGTGTGTGCTGTTCATGGACCTGTTGTGTGTGTGTGTGTGTGTGTGTGTGTTCTTTGACCTGGAGGATGAGCTTGCGCTGGGGTCATTGCCGAGTGCAGTGTGTGTGGTTTTCTCTCTTGCTCTGCAGATAGAGATGGTTTGATGTCGGCTTCTCTGATTTGGATGCCTTCTTATTCTTTTTCTTGCCTCACTGTGCTGGCTAGGCCCCCCACCCCACTCCCGAGGGACTGTGTTGAACAGAAGCCATAAAGGTGGGTGGGCCTCCTTGACCCCTTCTTGGTCTCACGGAGACCGTGTCTGCCTGGCACCCCTGAGGAGGATGTCAGCCCTGGTGGGTGGATTTGCTTGTTGTTGCTTTAACATAGCATTCCTGTCCAGAATGATGGTGGAGAGGGGGATGAACTGGGGTGGGTAAGCTCCTGCTCAGCCCTGCTGATGAGCCCCGGTGGTGGTCTTCCCCAGCTGCAAGTGTCTTTAACTGTCCAGTGTCCACGTGCACATGCTCCCGGAAGGATCTCTCTTTCATCATAGGCATAATCTCCTCCCCTTCAGGTTGAAAAGAGCCCAGGGCCCATCGTCTCCCGGACTCGGAGCTGGGACTCATCCAGTCCTGTGGACCGTCCTGAGCCAGAGGCCGCCAGCCCTACCCCCAGAAGCCGACCGGTGACTCGGAGCATGGGAACAGGGGACACCCCTGGCATAGAGGTGCCATCTAGCCCGCTGCGGAGAGCCAAACGAGCCCGCCTCTGCTCATCCAGCAGCTCGGTGAGCCTGCACACAGGCAGCCTGGGTGCCCAGGGAGCCCCTCCCAGGCGTCAGGCTTTCAGTAGCCCGTGGGCTGAAGTGTTAAGATGGCACGGTCTGGTACCCGAAGGGAGGAGGTTGATGTTCCATTGTTGTTTTGGATTCAGGATCTGGGGCCAAGGGAAACCTCATTAGCAAGTTGAAAGGTGGTGGCAGAGGACCTGACAGGCCATCTTGGTGCCTCTTCCGCATTCCATTGTGTCTTCCCTTCATAAGCCTGCTCCCTCCTTCCTCCCCCAGGACACAGCTTCAAGAAGCTTCTTTGACCCCACCTCTCAGCATCGAGACTGGTGCCCGTGGGTGAAC